AAAAAAAAAAAAAAAAAAAAGCAGAATAGGAGAAAAGAGAAAAGAGGAGGTGAAAGCAGCCAGATGATTTTGTTTCTACAGGCCCAGTCACCTATACTGGGTGACACACATACTGTTCCTCTTCCCCCCTCTCTTTCCCATTAATTCCTCACCAGAACCGAGAACCGCCCACCTTTGTGACATCCTCTCTGTTGCCAAGCAACAGACAGGAAGTGGGGCTCCACTCACCCCGGGATCCCTGGGAAGAGCCTCGGACTGAGGAGCTCCAAAAAGGAAGCTGTGGCACTGCGGAGGGAAGGAGGGAAGAGAGTAGGTCTCCGAGATGCTGCGGCTTGTTGTGCAGTCGGCCAAGATTGACCCACCACTAGCTCCACTACCCAGGCCCTGCATGTCTATCGACTTCAGAGGTGAGAGCCTCCCTGGGTCCACATGGGAGAGAGAAGCCCCCAGAGGCAACATGCATTCAGTGAAAAAAGAGGTGTAGGGCACCGTACTACGTAAAAGATGCCCTGTATAACACAAAGTGAAGTAGACATTGCCCAGCTCTCTCAAAACTTATTGCTATCGTTTGATTATGACTTCTCTGCCTCCTACTTTTGCTAGGGAATGGGTATGGAAAAAAGAGAGGACGAGTGCTTCTGGACCTTCTTCCATGACCTAGAGCTGCGCCGTAAACTAAGGTTTAAAGAGAAAGCCCCTGCTTCCTCAGATTGATGTGGGGGTTTAAAAAGATAATATGTGTATAGCCCTTAGTATAACTTCTAGTAATAACTGCTTGATCATGTTAGTTCCGTTTGCATGAGCTTTACAACTGACAAAGCGTTTTTTTTTTTTTTTTGAGACAGACTGTCACTCTGTTACCCAGGCTAGAGTGCAGTGGTGTGATCTTGGCTCACTGCAACCTCTGCCTCCCAGGTTCAAGCAATTCCCCTGCCTCAGCCTCCGAAGTAGCTGGGACTACAAGCGCACGCCACCACACCCGGCTAATTTTTGTCATTTTAGTGGACACGGGGTTTCACCATATTGGTCAGGCTGGTCTCGAACTCCTGACCTCAGGGATCCACCCACCTGGGCCTCCCAAAGTGCTGAGATTACAGGTGCGAGCCATGGCACCCAGCTGACAAAGCCTTTTCATATGTACAACGATGTCTGCTGCTCACAGCAATTCCAGAGGTAGATGAAGCAAATTTTATCATCTCCATTTTTTTTTGTAGATGAAGCAAGTTTTACTATCTCCATTTTTTTTTTTTTTTTTAGTTAAGAGAACAGAACCCCAAGAAGGAAGGGAAAGAAAAGGATGAAAGAATTTGTGAGAGAAAATGAGAGAGATGTTAGGTATATTTAGATATCAAAGATCTGGCAGCTAAAAGGAAAGAAAAGAATAAAGGGTGAAAGGGTGGGGCATGGTGGCTCACGGTTGTAATCCCAGCACTTTGGGAGGCTGAGGTGGGCAGATCACTGGAGGTCAGGAGTTCGAGACAAGCCTGGTCAACACAGTGAAACCCTGTCTCTATTAAAATATAAAAACTAGCTGGGCGTGGTGGCAGGTGCCTGTAATCCCAGCTACTTGAGAGACTGAGGCGGAAGAATCGCTTGAACCTGGGAGGCGGAGGTTGCAGTGAGCCAAGATCACACCACTGCACTCCAGCCTGGCCAACAGATCAAGAAGTGCCATCTCGAAAGAAAGAAAGAAAAACAAAAAAAGGGTGAAAGTATGTAGGTGGAGATACAGGACGGTGGATACAGGCAAATAGGTTTTACAGGGACGGTTGGTAGGGAGAAAACCCAGACCAAAAGAAAAGAGGACACAGTAGTTCCTACAGGAGATGTGAGTGAAGAATGGAATTTCTTTATTTTATGTTATGCTGTTGTTCTGTGAAACTAGGCTTGTTGAACACAACAGTATTCAGAGATTGAACATTTGGGACTCCGGGCTCACAGGGTCATACATGCTGATGTCCTCAGTCTGCAGGTTTCAAGAGGGGCGGTGCGAGTTCAGGATGAATTTGCCCTTCTTGACTAATTCTCCAGTTAGCCAGGCGAGGGGTTGCCAGTTCTCCTCTGATTCTGAGCCATCTTCCCCACCAACTCATGGGCACCATCTTTCTCATTCCAGAAATATCTCTCACAAAGATGCCTAAAACTCAGAACCCTGGGTTCACCCACAGATTCTTCTGATTGTATGTTTATGTTTGACACTTTGTACTCCTTTTGTCCTTCTCAGCCTCTTCCTTCATATGCCGTCCACTAACCTGCTCCCCTTCCCACTGCTTGGAGGGCCTTTTACCCATTATGGATGTTTCAGATGTCTTCGTTAGGGTACACTGGGATTTGCTCCGGCAATAAATAAAACGTTAATTTTCAGTGGGTTCACAATGAAAGTTTACCTCTTGCTTACACCAAGTCCTGCATGGATGGTGCTGGTCAGACAGCTCTCCTGGGTAGCTCCTACAAATGGTAGTTTAGGGACTAGCCACGTGCTCCTTGTGGCTGCAAAGTTAGCAGGTCACGAGGGTGGCTATAGGGAGAGGAGAGAGGAGAATGAAGAATCTCATGGAAATTGAGAACCAGACCTGGCAGTGGCAAATATCATATCCATACCCCATTGGCCAGAGTGAGTCACACGGCCCCGCTTAGCTGCAAGACACTGAAAACTCCAGAAGAAAATGAAATGGGCCGGGCACGGCGGCTTTCACCTGTAATCCCAACAATTTGGGAGGCTGAGGCAGGCAGATCGCTTGAGTCCGGGAGTTTGAGACCAGCCTGGGTGACACAGTAAAACCCTGTCTCTACAAAAAATACAAAAATTAGCCAGGTATGGTGGCGTGTAGTCCAGGCTACTTGGGAGGTGGGAGGATGGCTTGAGCCTGGGAGACAGAGGTTGCATTGAGCCCAGATCATGCCACTGTACTCCAGCCTGGGTGACAGAGTAAGACCTCATGTCACACACACACACACACAAAAGTAAAGAAAAAAGAAAAAGAGAAACGAAGAAAGAAAATGAAATGAACATATAGCATTATCTGTCACAGTGATAAAATCAAGAAATGTTGAACCCCCACAAGAAAGAAAGAGGTGATGCCATTTCACACCCGCCAGTGTTGACTTGAAGTTTTCTTAGAGTGTCCTAGTTCTCTTTACTCCACTCCAACCCAGACATTGAAATATTTCCTACCATCAATGCCAGCCCCTTGGTTTCTTTGCAGATGTCAAGAAAAGAACTCGTGTGGTGGAAGGGAATGATCCCGTGTGGAATGAGGTAGACACCAGGGCAAGCCCAGAAGAGTAAATAACAATCCCAACAGCAAGGAGGCAAGGGTGGGGTCCAGGCAGGTGCTCGGAGGTCTAGGGAGAGGACCTGCAGCCTCACAAGTGTTCCTCAAGGCTGGGCATCTTGGCCTGGGAGTAGTAGCCTCTGACCCGACAAGGCTGTGAAGGCCACACCTGCCCACGACTGTTCGTGGACTTCTCCCCCACTCTGAGGATGGACCATGTTATGGCCTATCAACTTGTCCAGCTGGGCCATCTTGACGTTCCTAGAAGCCTGAAGCCGAGTGAAGGCTCCCTTTGCATGACTCCCTCTCATCTGCCATCACTCCATGTTGCCCCTCGCCCCATTCCTAGTCCCCAAACCCTTAATTCTCAGCATGCCCGCGATACTGCAGTTCAAGTCACAGAAGCCCAGTGGGATGTGCACAGCTTGGTGAAAGGTAGCAAGCGCCATCTCCTGAGGAAGTTAGAC